ATAAAAAAAAAAAAAAAAAAAAAAAAAAATGTTTCCTGGCGATTGAAACTTGGCTTAATAACAAATGATAAGAATGCATACCTTTTTAGAAGAACATAGCGTGAATTTAGAGTACACTCTCTTGATGCTTGTCTGGATGGAGCCTAGTCACTGGAAATAATCTAGAATCAAAGCCAGGAACCTGCAACTTCACTTGAGTCAGTGTGTGAAATGGTTCGAGTGCAGGCTCAGGAGTCATTCTGCCTTGTTCCACTGTGCAGTAGCAATATTATGCACCTGAATTTCACCATCTGGAAATGCTAATAACAGTTCCTATATCAGGGTAATTGAGAGGATCCATCCTGGAACTTATATTCTAGTAAAGAGAGATGGGAAACTTACAGATAAATACATGTGCCAGGTGGTAAGTGGAGGGAAAAGAATAGTAGGATTGATTGCCATTGTTTCTTGCTCTTTTATATTGGGTAATAGGGAGGGCCTTTCTGATAAGAAAGTGTTTGAACGGAGACCTGACGGAAGTGAGGGAGCAAACTGTGCAGCTGTTTGGGGCAAGAGTTCCAGGCAGAGGGGACAGCAAGTGCAGAAGCCCTGAGTAGGGGTATATTGAAGGGTACAGCAAGAAGGCCAGTGTGACAAAAGCAGAGTGAGTGAGAGGAGTAGCAATAGGAAATAATTTCAGAGATAGCCACTGACCGGCATGTAGGGTTTTAAGCATAAGAAGGACTGGATTTTATTCTGTGTGAGATGGGAAGCTCTTGGAGGATTGCCAGAGAAAAATTTTTTTGAAGTCAGTTTGATTGTCACTTCTTTTCTTTAAAATGCTTCAGTTCTCTATTTCCTTTGGAATAAAGTTCAAATGCCTTATTCTGGCACACAGGGTCCTTCACAGTCAGGCCTCTGCCTATTTATTTAGCATCATCGGCCTCCTTCCCACATGTACACTTCACTTCAGCTAAATTGGATTACGTGCAGTTCCCTGCATGGGTCACGATGATTTGTGTCTTTGTGTTTTTCTGCATGCTGTTTGCCCTGGGAGAAACTGTCCTCCTCAGCTCCCATGGTCATTGGCTCTGTTTTAGAGGGTCCTCTTTGTGTTCCCAGAGCACCCTGTACCTTGTTCTGTCACCATTCCCTCCCCTAGCCACTTTGTACTCAAGCTGCGTAGTCTTGGAATGTGCTGTGTTCTTTTACCAGCCTTGATTTTACTCTTGCCACACCCTTGCCGGTTGAAATTATGCCCACCCTTCAAGAACGAGCTCAAACACTGCCGTCTTTTCTCTACTTTATAAACCTTTATAAACTGCTATCTTTTCCCTACCCTCATAAATACTTCATAGCTCGGTTATACTTAATCATAGTTACTTTGAATAAAAATGTTTCTTTCCCTTACCTCACACAAAATCCTTGGCCTTACTCATTTTCAGTTTCCATTGTAGCCCCCAGTATAGGGTCTTGTACAGATTTCACATTCAGTAGATGCTCCAGGTATGCAGGATTCATATGATAATTAGAAAACTTGGGTTTCAAGCTGCTAAGGACCAAAAGCAGCAAAAATGAACAGTTAAAGTGAGATGCCTATTAAATTAACAAAACAAATTTATTATAACATAATGTTGATGATGGCATGATTACTCTGGTTCTCTCATATATTTACTACTAGTGCCAAAAACTAGTGCACCCCTTTTGAAATGTAGTTTGGCAGAATGTATTCAGGCATATAAATGTCCATGTTTTTTGAGGTGGTGATATCACTTCTGGAAGTCATCTTCAGAAAATAGCACAAACTAGAATAACAATTATTAGCTACCTCTACCACTAATGTTGATAGTTTACTATGTGGCAGGCACCATGCAGAGCCCTTTACATGCGTTACTTAATTTAATTCTCAGAATTCCAAGAGGTGTGAATACTGTTAACCTCATGTCATATATGGGGAAATTGAGGCACAAAGAAATTAACTGACTTGCCCGAGATCATACAGCTGCTATGTTGTAAGTCAAGATTCCTACTAACAGAATTCATACCCTTAATTATATGATATGGTAAAAGCCTAGGCACAAAACTGTTCACAGCAGTGTTATGTAGAATAGATAAGTTGGAAGCAATGTATATCATTAATTATGGTCCATCCATTTAATAGAATAATAGAAAGCTGGATAATAGAATAGATTTATTGAAATAAAATTCACATAGCATAATATTCACCCCTTTTAAAGTGTACAAGTCAGTGGTTTCCAGTATATTCACAGAGTTATACAACTATTACCATTATTCTACTTCAGAACACTTTATCACCCCCAAAGAAATCTCATACCCATTATCAGTCACTCCCTATTTCCCCCTTACCCTAGAATATCACCAGTCTATTTTCTGTCACTATAGATTTGCCTATTCTGGACATTTCATATAAATGGAATTGTACAAAATATGGCATTTTGTGTCTGGCTTTCATTTAGCATAATATTTCTTGGTTCATCCATGTTGTAGCATGTTATCAGTACTTCATTGCTTTTCATTGCTAAATAATATTCCACTGTATGGATATACCACATTTTGTTTATCCGTCATTAACTAATGAACATTTGGGTTGTTTCTACTCCTTAGCTATTATGAATAATGCTGTTACAAATATTCATGTACAAGTTTTTGTGTGGACATGTTTTCATTTTTCTTGGAATTGTTGATCAAATGATAACTTTAACTTTTAGAGGAACTGCCAGACTGTTTTCCAAAGCAGCGGCATCATTTTACCTTTCCACTAGCAATGCATGAGGGTTTCACCTTCTCCACATCTTTGTCAATACTTGTTATTTGCTAATAGCCATCCTAGTGGATATGGAGTAGTACTGCATTGTGGTTTTGATTTGTATTTCCCTGATGACTAATGACGTTGAGCATCTTTTCATGTGCTTATTGGCCATTTGTAAATCTTATTTGGAGAAATGTCTGTTTGAATCCTTTGCCCCTTTTTTAACTGAGTTATTTTCTGTTATTGAGTTAAAAGAGTTCTTAGTATATTCTAGATACAGTCTCATTATCAGATACATGATTTGCAAAATTTTTCTCCCATCCTATTGTGTTGTGTTTTCACTTTCTTGATGGTGTCCTTTGTAGCACAAAAGTTTTTAATTTTCGTGAAGTCTAATTTATCAAATTTTTTTTTATTGCTTTCAGTTTCACGTAAGAAGACATTGCCTAATCCAAGGTCAGTGAAGATTTACCCCTGTGTCTTCTTCTAAGAGTTTGATAGTTTTCGCTCTTACTCTGAGGTCTTTGGTCCATTTTGAGTTCCTTTTTGTATATTGTGTGAGGTAGGGTGTCCAACTTTGTAATCCTTTGCATATGGAGATCCAGCACCATTTGTTGAAAAGTCTGTTCTTTCTCCCATTGAATTGTCTTGGCACCTTTTTCAAATATCAATTGTCCATAAGTGTAAGAGTTTATTTATCAGCTCTCAGTTCTATTCCATTGATCTATGTGTCTGTCCTCATCCTAGTACCACACTGTCTTGATTACTGTCACTTTGTAGTAAGTTTTAGAACCATGACGTGAGTCCTCCCAACTTTGTTCTTTTCAGGGTTGTTTTGGCTATTTTATTCTGTTTGCTATGAACCTATAACTGCTCTTAAAAATAAAGTCTGTTTTTTAAAAAAGGCCTCCTGAATTGTAATGTTGGGATTATGGTGAATTCTTTTCTCCTTTCTTTATTTCTCAAACTTTCTGTAATATATAACTATATAATATTTATAATTTTAAAAGTTTAAGTTTTGGCCAATAGAATACTTTTTTTTTTTAACTCAAGAGACAACTCTTAGCTCTGTAGCTACAAACCAGAGTTACCTAACTTTCCAGGAAGAATGTATGAAAGTGAAGAGCTGGGGCATAACGTTATGGTTAGAATGAGCCAGTCTCAGATTTAACACTCAGCTCCATGAATGCTCCTTTCTGTCGCCGGTTTCCTTCAGTTTCTTTTTCGCCTTCTCACTCTCCATTAGAAGCCCTCCCTCACACGCTAACTAAGACTTTCCTCAGAACACTTAGGTGAAATTTTTGGAATCTGGCTAGTCTGTATAATTGCCATTGAGAAATGGAAAGAATTGTGATTGAGTAGCATAGGGGCAAGGAGCCAGATAATGCAGTCTGAGCCACAGAAGTCACTTTGATGGAAGGTGATTTGGGGTGGGGGGAGTCATCCAAGTAGAGCTCTTTATGGCCTTCTCTTCCCTTGTTGTGTTCTGTCAATTTCTTTGCATCTGTATATGTTGTTTTCTTATGAAATCATATGCTGAGGGCAGAGATATGCAGGTGGTGCTAGGCTAGTTAAAAGTTTAAATAGACACACAGAGAAACAAGCCCTGTAACTTGGTGACAGCCTGCTCTTCCTATGTTGTTTGTAAGTACCGCTACAGAGTTTGCATGTTCTAAAGTTTGGGGGCTTTCTTTCCAGTTGAAGCAGTATTAAAATCTCAGTTTATTATTATTTTTTTCCATATAATAGGTGTCCATTTGAGGTTTGTTCCAAAACAAAAGCAAGTTTTATAGACCTGCTAAAGACTAATACCAGTGTCAACCACAAGCCAACTTTTTTGTAGCATTGTGACTTTGAAGTATTAAGATGATTAACAATGTATTTTTTTAGTTGAATTAATCAAAGGAAGGGGAAAACAGTTTTTAACTCAGATTTTTAAAAATTGTGGTATATTTATTAATGGCATTTAGAAATGTAAAATCATAATGTTTTTATTCTTATAAGGCTTAAACTTATCATTTTCTTACATAGATTAAAGAAAAAATGAGATACCACAATTATCCAAATTTCCAGAAATATGCACAAAATCATAGTTTTGATTGCCGTCTTAAGATCAAGTACCTGCCATTTTAGGAGAGAGATATTTACTGTCAGTTACAGGCTTTGACTTTTGTATTGCCGTGGAAAAACTATATCCTTCAAATTTCAGACTGTCAAAATTAGTTCTAGATAATGTTTATTTTCTAAGATATTTTCTTGCCACTTGAAATTCCATTCATAGTACTTGTGTCTTTTTACTGTGTCTCCCTTTTTCTGGCTTAAAAATATACTTGTGGGCTTGTGCTTCTGGCCAAGTTGGAATAACAGAGATTGGATTTACTCTCTTGGCTGTAATCACATAACTAACAAACAAACAAACAAAAACCCCAGAAATACTATATAAAGTTTCAAATACTGACCAACTGGCAGCACAGGACAATGATTCCCAAGAAAGCAGAAACAAACAATGAACCCTACAATTATCCTAGCTTACTGCCTGGAGAGAGTTTCTAGGCTGCAGCATAAGGAGGGGAATCCCAGACGGAGCCCATCAGTCTCCCTAGTTGAGGAGACAGAGCTGGAGGCCAAGGAGACTGTAGTTTGGAGAAGAGAGAGCTGCACAAGGAGGAAACTCCAAAGGTCTGCAGAGAGTCTCCCTTAAGTCTTCATATGAGTAACAATTAGTACTTATGTTGTATGGAAGCTACCTGAAGCCAGGAACCACCCAAAAGCAGTAGAGGGGATAATCCCTGATTCTTTTTCAGGGTTAAAAATAGTTTGTGTTCCCACCAGCCATAGGAAAAAACCTCATAAGTCACAGAACATTGGATAGAGTACTCAGAGGGTATTGCCCCAGCAGTGGTGCAAATGTAGACCTAAACTATAGACTGCTGTGATCCTTTCTAACAAAGCTTAAAAATAGGTCTCAAAAGGATCAAACTGTTTCCAAGTAATTTAACTGCATCCCAGAACAAAGCTCAATGTGTATAGTTATGCAAAAATATCTAGCACTGTATTATCAAATAACAAGTGTTGGTGAGGATGTGGAGAAAAGGGAACCCTTGTGCACTGTTGGTGGGAATATAGATTGGTACAGCCACTATGGAAAACTGTATGGAGATTCTTCAGAAAATTAAAAATAGAACTACTATATGATCCAGCAATTCCACTCCTGTGTATTTTTCCAAAGAAAAGAAAATACTAATTAGAAAAGTTACGTGTACCCATATGTTCATTGCAGCATTATTTACAATAGCCAAGATATGGAAGCAACCTAGTTACCCATCAGTAGATGAAAGGTTAAAGAAGATGTGATCTTTATACCATTTGGACAACATGGATGTAGAGGGTATTTTTTCTGTGGGAAATAAATCAGAGAGAGATAAATACTACATGATTTCACTTACATGTGGAATCTGAAAACAAAACAAATGAACAAACATAACAAAACAGAGACAGTGTTATAGATACGGAGAACAAATGGGGAGTTGCCAGAGAGGAGGGGAATAGGGGGAAGAAAGAAATAGGTGAGAGAAATTAAGAGGTACAGACTTCTGGTTGCAGAAAAAAATGAGTCAAGAGTATGAAATGTACAGTGTGGGGAACATAGTCAATAACTGTAATATCTTTGTATGGTGACCTATTGTAACTAGACTTATTGTGGTGATCATTAGACTTATTGTGATGATCATTTTGAAACATATAGAAATACCGAATCACTGTGTTGTGTAACAGGAACTAACATAGTGTTTTAGGTCAATTGTACTTCAAAAACAAACTCATAGAAAAAGAGACCAGCTTTGTGGTTACCAGAGGCAGGGGCAGGAGGAGGGGAATTGGATGCAGGCAGTCAAAAGGTATAAACTCCCAGTTATAGGATAAATGAGTACTAGGGATGTAATGTACAACATGATGAATATAATTAACACTACGGTATTTTATATAGGAAACTTGTTAAGAGAGTAAATCCTGAGAGTTCTCATCACAAGGAATTTTCTATTTCTTTAATTTTGTATCTATATGAGATGATGGGTGTTCACTAAACCTATTGTGATAAATTATTTCATGATATATGTAAGTCAAACCATTATGCTGTATACCTTCAACTTATACAGTGCTGTATGTCAATTATATCTCAGTAAAACTGGAGGAAAAAAATATCTAGCTCTCACCAAGGTAAAATTTACATTTGGCCTCCAGTCAAAAGCATCAGACTTGTAATGAAGCAATCCATGAGGAGGAAAATTAAAAAATAGAAACTGACCCAGAAATGACACAAGTGATAGAATTAGTGGACAAAAACATTAAAACAGTTTTGGCTATATGCCATATATTCAAGAAAGTAGAGGGAAGATTGAGAATGTTAAATGCAGATCTAAAATACATTTGAGACGTAAATTGAACATCTAGAGATCAAAACTACAATGTGCAAGATGAAAAATAAACTACATGGGATTTACAACAAATTAGTGCAAGAGAAAAGATTAGTAAACTTAAAGCCATAGCAATACACACTATCCAGAATAACACTCAGAAAGGAAATAAGACTAGGAAAAAATGAATAGAGCATCAGTGAGCTGTGAGACAACTTTAGGTGGCCTAATATAGGCATAATTGTAGTCTCAAGGAGAGGAGGGGGTGCAGAAAATTTTTTTGAAGAAATAATGGTCAAAAATTTCCAAATTTGATAAAAACTAGAAATCTTAAAAAAAAAAGAGGAAAAATGGAACAAAGAACAGATGACAAATAGAAAACAAATAGCAAAATGTTAGGTTTACACCAAACTGTATCAATACTTATATTAGCTATAAACCATCTAAACAATCCAGTTAAACGGCAGAGCTTAATAGGTTTGGTAAAAAAGCAAGACTCAACTGCATGTTGCCTACAAGAAACCTCTGATACGTAGTAAGATACAAATAGATTAAAAATAAAAGGTTGGGGGCTTCCCTGGTGGCGCAGTGGTTGAGAGTCCACCTGCCGATGCAGGGCACATGGGTTCATGCCCCGTTCTGGGAAGATCCCACATGCCGCGGAGCGGCTAGGCCCGTGAGCCATGGCCGCTGAGCCTGCGTGTCCGGAGCCTGTGCTCCACAACGGGAGAGGCCACAACAGTGAGAGGCCCGTGTACCGCAAAAAAATAAATTAAAAAAAAGATAAGCAAACAGACCCATAGAATGGAAAATATCAATTAATTTTTGAGTATGGTGCCAAGTCAATTAAATGGAAAAAATTTTAGTCTTTTCAACAAATGGTGAGGAACAATTTGAGATTCATATACAAAAAACTAAAAAACTAAAAAACTATATCATATATAAAAGTTAATTCAAAATTGATCATAGACCTAAATGTAAAGCCCAAATCAATAAAATTTTTAGAAGAAAATATGTTTGCCTTTGGGTTTGGTAAAGATTTTT